GGGGTGAATTGGCTTGTTAGGCCGCATGCAATAGAATAATGAATCTAAGGTCCTCCCTTAGATCCTCATGGGCTTATATACATGTAGGGCAGGGCCCCTGGCACTGTGCTACTGTGAGACCTCAGATACCTACATGTGAATATATTGCCAGAACCGGCAATGGTTCTGGGCTTTGCCATAGCAACTATCTACAAAGGCCATGGATACGCCGAGGTAATCCTATCTAGTCTAATGAGATAAATGCCTGTAAGTGGGCCCACTGTTGAGGGGCCAATGGGTGATGGCCAACAGGGCACATCACAATGGTTGCGACATCAGATAAGAGGATCTGTCTAGACTCAGAATAATGAGTGTGACGATCAGTCTTCATCTGGATAGGGTTGTGAGAAGATCTAGCCTATCCTGTACCTGGCTATACTGTATGCCAGTTGGTAGGGGGATCCTCTGTTGTGGTACCTGCCTATTGGTTTAGGTGGTAAAGTGGTGCCACTATCTTGAGTGGCGAATTGGGTGCTTGCTAGCTTGATGGTCTAATGAGTTCCTTTCTGGGCAAGTGGCCTGGTGTCACATGACCAACCCCTGACAACTTCCAAATAGGGCAAGTGGCCAGTGTCACGTGACTGGGTGGCTGAATCATGGGCGCTTAGTGGTCCAATGGTAGACACAGTCATATCTGCAATGTATGTGGTGGTATTGTGCTGTTTGTCCAAGTATCCACTTTGTGAGACCAATATGAAGGTTGGCGTCTGAATAACCACTCAAATGAGGACTTTAATGGTGCAAAAAGAAAGGTGCCACCTAATACTGTGACAGCGGCGAATGTCTTGGATCTGCTTCGTACCCGACCTCATGTTACACATGTGGTCTTTGCTTCAGATAATCGTGCAGCGGTCGAGTCCATCCTGGATCTTCGCCCTCACGACTGCCAACTGCACTCTATCCTCTTCTCTCAGAAGATTACCATGATGCTCGAAAGTCAACCGGACCTACGCATTGAAATTGTGTGGGTTCCAGGTCATGCCGGCTTTCTGAGCAATGAAGTCGTTGACCATCTTGTGAAACGTGGTGCTTCCTCCCCTGCCATTCATCCACCTTCTCTGGTGTTTGCAAAGAGAACTGCGTGCAAAAGAGCCCTTCATAAGTGGAGGCACAATTTTCGTCGAGATGCACATCCATCCAATTTTCGTGCAGCAGTCACGACCGAGCCCCTTCTCACCCTACATCGTTACTTCAAAGAGAACGAAGACACCCACATTGTAGAGTGCCGACTTGTCCAGTTGCTCCTAGGGCATGGACACGTCGGTAGCTACTATCATCGCTTCATGGCAGAAGAGTCCACACAATGCCAGTGCCGCACTGCTAACATACAGACCCGCGAGCATTTGCTCATTCACTGCCCGCTCTACGCCTCACATCGCCGCCATCTTGGCAACCCAACCTGTCCCATCTGACTCAAGCAGCTGTTCACCTCTAAACACGCCCGGCGCAAACTCGCGGCATTCCTGGCAGAGACGGACGCCTTCACCAAATTCTCGCTAGTTCTCTGGGATCCTGGCTGAGGGGTATCCTTCTGACTGAGACGCTATATATGCGTGCTATGTATTCGATCCTGGGTGCACCCAGTCCACCGTAGACACCTGCCTGTACCCACACCTATGACCACCTTCAGTGGTATATAAATTATAATCAAAAAAAAAAAAGTGAGCAGCCTCTGTGATTGTTGAGGCCTTTAAGGACCTGTGCGTATCAGCACGCACATGACAGTGAGCAGAAAACAAGCATTCAATGTCAACACTTGCACCAGGAATGACCAGGAAATCTCATGTCATACAAGAAATGACAAGAAACTCATGTTCATGAGCCTACATGATGATCAACTATCAGTGGTGGCTTTTGTCAACACTATGACTTTCAACTGGCTCACTGTTGTGCTGTCAAATCTAGCAATTGTGCACTCAATAGTTCTATATCATCATAAAACTATTTATACTGTATATATACATCTATTTACTATATACAGGCCTAACTGTAAATAAACGGATATAGTAAACAGTTAAAACTATGTAACATAGTAAATAGATAGAAATGTTGGAGCCTTAATTGACACGATCCCGCACAACTGGGCCATCAGCAAAAGTGCAAAAAGATTATAAAGGGTTTATAATCCGTTATAATACCTTTAATACCCCCCCTATCTTATTTACTGTGACCATTCTGACCTACTAGTATAATGGATCTCTGAGTTTCACAAGAACCCCCTCTATTATTATAATGGCTTGTAAGATCGGCCATTCTGATCACGCATTATAATCATGCTCAGGATGCATAAAATAGTTTATGATTTTTTCCGACGAGTATAAGGTCCGGCCTATAATTGTAAGAATATCATATATTACAGTTCTACTCGAGTACACTCATTGTTTATAAAGTCTGTGCAATGATGTGGTGCTCCAAGTCTAAGACACAACTCAAGAGAGCGAGGCAGCAGCAGGTAGGCATGATTGTAAGGAGGCAGAGGAGCGAGTCAAGGGCAGGCCAAAGAATAGTGCAAGCTGAGTGCGAAAGTGTCGTCCAAGTGGGATATCTCAGATGTCAAGAGGGACGGAATATGATGGAAGAGACCAGAAGTGCCAGAAGACATGACGCTGAACTTCTGAGGTCCTCACGAATTTGGTCCATGAGTGAAGGGCCAGCGCATTCCTCACTCGAGCGTGTTCCCCATGTGGTGACTAGCGATCTCCCAAATAAGTTTCTAATCAACCCGTCAGTATGTGCATGCGTCATTCTGTATCACTTACTCATTCCATATATCCAGAATGCGCACACCAACAATCGAGTGCTCGAGAATTTCCATCAGTACATGTTGATTTCATAAAAGTTCATGAAGTGAGCAGCATGGCAAACGTACCACGACAGGAGTCGTCATGTAAGCGCGAGCAAATACTGCATCGTCGCCGGTGAGCAGGAGGATCACCCAGTGTGCCATGATCGTGCTCGTGGAAGTGTTGATGCGCCAGATGGCACTCTCGATGTCCTCGTCATCGTCAGTCGTGAGCTTGAAGAAGTTGGCTCCAGGGGCGAGGCGTGCATCCAAAGAGGACATGTGATACATACAAACATTTATAGTCTGGTTAACGCCACATAAGTGTGCAGATTCATGTTCTTCTCGTCCCGCTGCAAATGTTCTTGATCTGTTAACCCTTAGATGCGCTGTTATTCACGCTCACCTCGGGCGAAAAGGGGTTCTTCACTGAGACGATCGTCTTGCCTTCTTCTCGTGTTGCAGCTTTTTCCGCTCCTTCATTACTCGCACGATTGCTGCATGTAGTGCGTGCTTCCAGTCACCCTCAGTGGACGTCTGTGTCACCGGGCCTCCTCCAGCTAGTAGTACACATATGAGCATGATGAAGGGACATGAGTGCACAAGGGGAGAATGGCACCTAGAAGACCTTACCAGTGCAGCATCCGAACTTGAAGGGAACGAAGACCTCTCCATCTTTTCCATGTTTAAAGACTCCTCCCTGCACAATTCCCTGAAACATCTTGATAAGCCAATCCTGAGCATGTTTGACAGATATAAGCATTACATATATGCATTGCACCAAATTCTCTTTCCGATGCTGGAGCGGGTCAAGATCAGCACTTTCTTTGCTCCTGTTTGCCCACAAAGAGGGCATTCACCTTGATCTTAGTTAGAAAAAGCTTTTTCTCAAAAGTGCACGCGAGTTCTGGTATGTTTTCGACCTCTTTAGTGGATGCATGAGCGTGGGAAGCCACCTGGATAGCTTTCAAAATGTCATCTCAGAGCCATTCCCGGGTGGTGTAACACCTGCAGAAAATTAGTTTCCGTCAGTGTCAAGCAAATCTTCATCATCTGAGATGTTGCTTTCAGTGCATTGGACGTTCTCGAACTCGATGATTCCTGCTGAAGCACCGGACCAATGGTTGCATGAGGATCCATCCGTGCTGTCAGAGCCCTCTGAACTGCCAGCCATGCCTTGAGCAGACTTCGATCCGGCACCTGTGGTCGTGCTCCTTAGTCACGTACACACATGAGAATAGGTAAGCGAGCTGGAAAACGGCTAAAAAATGCGAAAAGCTACATGAGAATGCTATGAGACGATGATGAGGACAGTAGTGCAAACAATGCATCTTGACCTTCTGGACATTGTCACTCCTTGCATTATGTGCACATTTCTCAATCTCACATGATGTGTAAGCATGACTCTATGTATCTCTTCACTTAAACAGCTACACTTACAAAGTCAGCCAGAACGATGACACATCCGACTTCGACTGCCATCTCTTCAGATGATACCAAGTGTCTCATCGCGTTGATAATGCTACGATACATCGTCAGCTTATCTTATATTCAACTAATTGTCCTGAAAGGTACTTACATTAGCATCCTCTCTATATTGCGCATATATACGCTGTCTTTGCGCATACTCTTGCCTCCGTTAGAGTCAATGGTGGCAGTCTTACTCTTTTGACCTTGTGGGATTGTGCAGTGTTCAGAACCTTGAAGCCAGGTGGTCAGAAAGGTGCAAGTCTCCAGGGGGGTGTGGAAAAAAGCGACGATGGATTCTGCTGGGGGCTAAGGTGGCGATCACATGATTGACGCACCAATGGCCATGTGCCCCACATCCCCAAGACGTTGCATCCGCTTGCAGCTGCAATGCGTTCTCCTGTAACCATGCTGCCAGCATACAGACTTACGTCAATGCCGTCCTGGAGAATTGGCAATGCGAGTGAAGAGAACATCCTGCAATGAAGACTCACCACTATTCCCAGCAGCCTCGCCATCCTCGCCACGGCTCGACCATGGTTGCCCTGCATGGCAGCAAAGAAAGTGATGCCCTTCCCTTTCGCCCCTCTGGTGAGATCCTCAATGCTCCATGTTATGAGCCATAAGCATGCTTGTGACGAAAGAAGCAGCTGCATAGAAGCCAAGATGGGAGAAGTGACAGCGAGGGGAGGGCGCGATCCGAGTCGTGCATACACGTTCCTATAAAACGTTACACGAAAACAATGATTTCCGTGAGCACGTACAGGAGGAAAGGTGTGGTCTGTTGGGAAATAATGCATTCATCATGACGGGCTTGACTTTGAGGTCGAGAGGATGTTGTCCTTGCTCATTATGAGCTTCATGAAGGGTGGACAGAGCGCGCGCGGAGGTAGGGATTTCGATGAGGATGCACCAGCCAATACAAAACCTGCAAGAAATGACCCGGCGTCCCGGGCTCAAGTCGCCGTGGTCATCAACGTAGGCTGAAATAGGCAGGGTAGGCAGGGGGTGTAGTATGTGACAGTGGAACACACAGAGGATGCCATAGTATGAGAACGGTGACCCAGAACATAAAAAGAAACAAGTTGCAGTCTGTCTCGAGGCGCCTATATGCGTTCACATTGAGTTCGATTATTTAGACTTGAAATTGGCTCGCATGAATATTGCTTTGGGGGAGAGCGAGCTTGAAGTAAATTGGCCGCGCTTGTAATCTATCCGGTGCGGACATTGCAATCCTATGTGATTCTTGGATTTGATCAGTGCAAATTGCTTAGAAAAATAAGAATTACGAGGTTGATAATTGTGAAAGACAGTTTACAAGAGTTTATAACGCGTTATAGACCGTGATAATCCCCCCTAATATACTCAGAGGTTTCTAAGAACCTTAAAATCTACTTTAACGTTTTTGCACTTTTGCTGATGGCAAAGCAGCAAATAGTCAGTTAGCACTAACAACCGTACGCCATGCTCCCTCATCCTCATAAATCCTTTCTATCCCCCAGGAATCCGGCAAGTACGTCGAGTCATTCACGTCGCTGAACCTCCGACCAGAAGGCGGTACGATCCCGGACGCAGAAGAGGAGGACATCATCAAGTGGTGTAGTAGCGCGTTGTACGCCGGCGGGGCTGATACCGTGCGCACTTTGCCTCTCAACGTTACTAACCGTCTCAGAACATCGTCCAGGTCGTCGGGCTGCTCACAGCGTTCGTCCTTTTGATGGTGCTCAACCCAGAGGCGCAAAAGCGTGCGCAGACAGAAATTGCTCGCGTCGTGGGTGCTGGCAGGCTGCCGACCGTGGATGACCAGGAGAGTCTGCCTTATGTGGGGGCGCTCATAAAGGAGGTGATGCGATGGGCCCCGGTGGCACCACTAGGCGAGTTGCCATACGAGCCTTGGATGTAGTGCGATCCTTACTGGTGCGCTAGCTTTGCCTCATAGAGTGATAGAGTGACGGAAGACAATGTCTATCAAGGGTGTTGGATCCCCAAGGGAACTGTGGCACATGCGAATGTGTGGTGAGCACCTCCATGCGCATCGATCCTCGATTATGTTTGGTTGATAATCGACCGATGGTCAGGGCCATCGCACACGATCCCAAGACTTGCCCGGACCCGTTCGCCTTCAAGCCCGAACGATTCCTTGCAGACGAGCTCCACGAACCGCAACTTGACCCACGCAAATCTGTCTTTGGATTCGGATGTAGCGTCTGTCCAGGTACCGTCCGACTATCATATAATATATCATGTCGGGATGTGGGAAGTACCCACGCAGGCACGCACGTGTGGTTCTAGGATCTCATTTCGCTGAGAGCTCCGCGTTTCTCGTGATCTCGTGCATCCTCGCACGTTCAACATCTCGAAAGCGGTGGACGAGAATGGCAGAGAAGTCGAGCCGCCGGTCGCGTTCACTTCAACAGTCACAAGGTTCGCACGATTCATATGCAATATCGATATAATGCAAGTGCTGACCACCGACTCGCGATTATCGGTGCAGCCATGTTAAGCCGTTCCGTTGTCGAATCATCGTGCGTTCTCCGGAGTTGTTGGCAACTGTGGCCTCGGGCTGAGAGGACGGCGAGGTGGCGGAGACTCTGTAGTCTTTTTTCGAGTTTCGGCTGGTTTCCTTTCTATGTGGTTTGACGATACAGAAGAACGTTGCGCATCGCACATCGATCATGGATGGGGTGAGGTGGAAAAGAAGCCTTTAGGACGAGCCTGGAAACGTTCAGGGATTAAGTCTGTACAAGCTGGCAGGAGGATCGATTGGTCGTGATGACACTCATCAGCAAGCGCATTTGAAGGATCACCATTTTGTACCCTGCACTATGGCATGGGAAATAAAGACTTTCCTGCCTTCCAAAATGACGATCATTTTCTGGAATCTCTGTGCAGTCTATGGTTTATGTTTATGCCGCCGCCTTCAACGCAGACAACGGATTCAGTTGCTTCGAAGCCTCTTGAGGTGCACATCATGAAGCTGAGGCAAGCTCTATACGAACATCCGAAGTGATATATATGCACCTACGTTGTTTTTTATCATGAGAGGACCGGATCTCGCGGTCTCATGTCAATTCTCGTTTAGTAGGCTTGCCAAAATGGTCGCAGTTGCATTCGCTGTTCACTTGGTAATCATCAGAGTGGACCAGAGGCTCTCCCATGCCTGTTTGAGATGAGCAGTTGAACGTTAACAACCTGTCGGAAATTCCCTGGACAATGGTGCCGCCACCATCATAGCATTCCATGTAAGGCAATGCCTCTGCCCAATTTGGACTTCTCGCAGTGGCCACGGTGCAAGAACGAAAGCTGTCATGTCCTTCCGTGATCGGAACCTTATTGTTCGCGCATATATAAGATATCGTCTCCACGCTCTACGTCTAGTCATGCTTTCCCCCCAGATTGACCTCGTTCTCTGCCTCTGCGACGGATTCTTCAACTGTAGCTCAGCGTGTCCGCTATGCGAGCATTTTTAGCGTATAAAAGCACGGAGAAGTTATCTAGATCTGTAGATGCACATTTTGACATATTGTCTAGTGAGTTCTCCGCGAGTGTGTGGGGAGGCATCAATTGCTAACCTCACAGCTCGGACGTTCAAGACGTGGTGGCGCAATATGGGCGCTTGTCCTTATCCGCGATGTGATGAGGTTATTTCCATGACGGCGGACGGGTGCGCAGCAGCGGCGGGCGCGTCGGTGGCTGTCCTCTCTCGTCCTGCCAGTGGCTTTCATCGATTCGCACTTGGGTCCATCTCATTGTCTTTGACTCTTCCACGTCCTCTGGTTTCCACCACGTTGCCCAAATCTGCCGATCCTCCGCACCGCCGAAGCGCCGTAACCGTGTCCGCCGGTCGCGACCACTCGAAATAGCACGATGCTGCTAAAGCTAACAACGTCCACGCGCTACGTGCTCCTCGTCCTCCTTCTCGTCGTGCGTCTCCGGCTCCGCTGTCCCTGCTACTGCTCTCGTGGCTGACACCCTGGCTGCGCCTCCCACAGCTCGGCATCCACTCCATCCTGAGCTTCACCCACGAGGACTACGGTCGTGCCACGTCCCTCTCACAAACAGCCGCCAAACTCTCGTGGGGCTCCAACGACGCGCTCGACAGCATCCCCGACGAGTATTTCTACCATGAGCTCGAGCCGACGCCGTACAACGTCACCCGGCGCGCGAATGCGACGATGCTCATGCTCGCGCGGAATAGCGACCTCGACGGGGCGATGCGCAGCGTGCGCGAGCTGGAGGACAGGTTCAACCGTCGGTGTCGCTACCCCTGGGTGTTTCTGAACGACGAGGAGTTTTCGGATTAGTTCAGGAGGTGCGCGATTGTTGAGGCTCGTTGCGTCTGGTGCTGACGGTCAGCGGGTAGACGGATAAGCAACGTCGTGTCGGGCCCTGTGTTGTTTGGCTTGGTTCCGCGCGAGCATTGGGTCCAGCCTGACTGGATCGACGAGGACAGGGCGCGGGAGAGCAGGGACAAGATGGTGGAGAACAACATTATCTATGTCGGTGCGTGCACTACCCTCTTTCCACGTGCCGCATGATACTAACATATCCATCCTGCAGGGAGTGTCTCGTGAGTACTGTTCTGATGCTGTTCACGTCGGGGAGGTGAGTTAATGCGACGCAGGTAATGTGCCGCTTCAACTCAGGGGTGCGTCGAGCCCGCTCTCCACCCTCAACTCCCGTCGCCTGACCATCCCCCGTGTAGTTCTTTTACCGTCACCCGCTCCTGCAGCAGTACAAGTGGTCCTGGCAAGTCGAGTGCGTCGCCCCCCTCACATGTTGTGTTGTACCCGTCTCAGTGAAGTGGTCGTGCGTGTAGGCCCGACGTGCACTTCCACTGTGACATCGAGTTTGACCCGTTCGCGTATATGGAGGACAATGACAAAATCTACGGCGCGCAGCTCAGATTTGTATGCAGAGCAGGACATGGAGAAGGCGGCTGACGAGCCGATCTGCATCTCAGGCTTCACGATCACCATGTATGAATATGAGGCGACGATCCCGACGCTCTGGGAGACCATCAAGGTTGCGATCTTCCCCGCTTCCCTATCTGTCCGCACGACTGACCCGACACGCGCCACTAGAGTTCACGCGTCTGCACCCCGAGTACGTCTCTCCGAACAACGCGATGGGCTATCTCTCCGATAACAACGGGAACACGTACAACCTCTGCCCTTGCAAGCCCGCTCGTCTCGCGTCTGAGTCTGTCTTTGATCTTTGGTGACGACGTTGGGCGGACAGTTTGGAGCAACTTTGAGATCGCGAGCATGGACCTTTGGCGCGGAGAGGCCTATTCGAAATACTTTGATTTCTTGGACTCCAAGGGCGGGTTCAACTACGAGGTACGCGCATCATCCCACCTTTCCCTATCCCTCCTTGACATGCTGACTCTCACTGAACCAACATCTTGCTTGTCATGGCGTCCGCTAGCGCTGGGGCGACGCACCGGTACACAGCATCGCAGCGGCGCTGTTCGCGCGGAAAGACCAGATCCAGTTTTTTGACGAGATTGGGTACGAGCATAATCCGTATACGCATTGTCCGCGCGGGCCTGGTAAGTGGGCGCGTGGGCGGTGTGCGTGTGATGCTGGGAGGAGTTTTGGTGAGTGCTGTCGGTCTTGATCCTGCTGGCTTGGGATTGGGATGTTGTCGGTGTGTGAGGAGGCGCTGATGGTTTTGGGATAGATTATGATGGGTATTCGTCTATGAGGCAGTGGGATCGCGTTCAGTAAAGTCTTGTTGGCGGTTGGCTGGCATGATGTATAGACGGTGAGATGCTTAGATCTATAGCGTTTGCTTATATGTACGTGTAAAAGTGTATATGTCGTTGGTAATGTGATTTATGATGCTCGGCGCTGGTGTTTTCGGAATCGTTTCGTGCTGTGGTTTGTTGTTGGGAGATATGTTTGATGCGTGTGCGTGTGCGGAGCGGGTGAGATTTGTGTGCGAGGCGATAGCCTCGTGGAGGATGATGTTCCCAACGTGTCTTAAGCGGTGCGATGAGGAGGTCAAAATTCAATGATGTGAAGTGCGCGTATAGTACTTGAACTGAATGTTGTATGGGAAAGACGGCCGTAACTTGGACAACGGGAAAATAAAATAGTAGGATCGGATGTGAGGTTGTCCACTGCCTTCATCGTGGCAAACTTTACACCTCTCCTGCGCTGTTTCTGCAGAACAGCTGTCCACCTTCGAAATGAAAATGATCTTCCGGTCATCATATGAACATGCAAACATCTTGAAATGAGAGGAACTTTACACCTTTCCGTACGGTAGCGAACTCATTGATGACGGTTAATGTGCCTTCATGAGAAGCAGAGGTGCACCGCAAGCTAGAGGGCAGCGCGAAACGATCATGATCATTATCGATCAACGCCATACATGCCATACATTGTGTGCATTGCGCCGGCACCGCAGCTGATACACTCGGCACAACGCGTACATGCAGATGTGTGCCGACCATGAATACATGACATCCTGCAGCTCTATGACAAACGGACCGTAAGAATAACAAGCCAGAGCTCTACGTCACGACGTACATAGCATACACCGATCAGTTCACGAATCGATAGTAGGCACGACCGTACGCAGGCGCTCCGGCACCAGCTCCGGCGGGAGCTTTGCGATCTGGTCCAGCGGTGCGCGCTTCGCCAGCGCGAGGAGGTTCAGCCGAAGCTGCCTCATCCTCGGATCCTCCTCTTCTCCGCTCTCCTTCTTCATTGTCATCGCCGGCTCCTCCATCGCACCCTTCATCGACGCGCCCCCGCTCTCCACCTTCCCGGCGCCCGCGCCCCCACGCTGCCCCGCGATCTCATCAATCGCATCCGCCGAGCGATCGAGTATGTATTGCAGCAGCGCCGCGTCCTCCTGCGTCTCCGTCCCCATCCCCGCCGTCACGCCCTCCTCATTCTGCTCGATCGCATACTGCAAGTACTCCATCGCGCTGCCCGAACTCGCCGCGCGCTCCTCCTCCTGCGCCTGTCTCCTCGCCTCGATCACCGCACGCCCATCCCACGCCTCCTCGACGGGTAGAGCTCCTCTGGCGCGCGAATCAAGGGCCTCATGTCGATCTGCGTGCCCAAAGCGTGCTGCAGCTTGAGAGGTCATGCGCGATGTGAAGGTAGAGGTGCGCGGAAAGGGATAGCTGTAAGAGGACGTGCGACGATGCGTGGAAGGTAGGGTCGTCCAGCCGGCGTGCAGCCTCGCGGAGGAGCCGATGCCGCCCGTCGGTGAGCGGCTCGAGGATGTGCGTGTCGACGTACGCGGCGAGCGGCATACCTAGAGCGGTGTTCAGTGGCTTGCTCGTCTCCTCCTGCACGAGCCACTTCGTCAGTGCCTAGGACACCAAATCAAGAAGAAGCTTACGAGGTCCTCGGACGGTCTGACGAACTCTGTGAGACTCCGCACGTACGCAAGTCCGTCTACACCTCCGTAGACAACGTCCCGCAGATACTCCTCCGCCTCCGCGCCCTTGCCCCTCCAGTACTCTTCTTCTGCACCCTCCCCACCACCCATCTGCACATCCCTTGTATAGCCTTCTATCGTGCTCGCCTCGATACTCTCCCGTATTGCCTCACACACCTTCTCCTCTGAGTCGAACTCCTTCGCTACGTCCTTGACCTGCCTCTGCTTCGCGAGCTCACCCATCAGCGTCGCGTACACGCCAAAGTCCACCGCCACAGGCTCCCGGCCAGGCGAAGACTCGCCTTCGTTGTCCCGCTCGCGCGCGCGGCTGCGCGCAGGCGCATTACGGATGATCGTCCAGTGTCGCCGGGTCGCGCGTGTGCGGGACCTGGCGGAGATCTTCAGTGTGGAAGGGACAGGGACCGGTGCGGTGGGCGAAGCAGGGAGGTTCACCTGGACGGATAGGGTGCGCCAGGACGATCGGAGGGTCGGAAAGTGGGGAAGAGGGGGGTGAGAAGCGGTCGTGAAGGAGACTCGGGGGCAAAGAAGGAGAGGACAGAAAATGGGTTGTCCACTGCGAGGTGTTAGCTTTTCTCACATTATATAGGATGTATGCTGCTCCCGTTCAGCATAGTCGAGACTGCCGTCTGCTCGATACGGCGGGCCTCCCTTCTCCATCCGCAGGCGCTCCTTCTTTGTTCTGTGTCGCTTGCCTGTACGGCTAATGAGCAATCAGTCACTTGTGAGCGGAAGGCCACCCACCTCGCAGCTTAAGTGCCAGCATCAATTCTGCCCAGTCCGAGCCAGGCGGGAACGCGCCCAGGCCATCCTTCGCACCAGGCAGTCCACCGTCATCCTCGAGGGTCTCCGACAGCGCGCCTGGCAGTTTCCGTGTACCTGCCGCTGCGGCGGCCCGCCGGCGGGGATGTGCGCTGGTTGATGCAGTAACGGAAGTGGGTGCAGACGCAGTGGATGTCCCGTCGTCGACGTCCATCGGCGTGCCCTTGTCCTGCGCGTCGTGGTCCCCCTCGATCTCGATAGTCCAATCCGTCTCGTACTTGATCACGCTGGCGGACGCCTTTGCGATGTGCTCGAGCGCAAAGGCCTCGATCTTCTCCGCTTCTGTGTGGTAGATCGTGCCGGGCGGGTTGAATGTCTTGGCGTTCGTGGTGACCAGGCGGATGTCGTCCTGTGGAGAATTCAGAAACGTTAATGACAAGAAATTGTACACTACGCACCGCAAACTCCTCCAGTGATCGATATCTTCCGCGCTGTACTTTGTGAGACACCGTGCCTAGATCCATAGGTCGTTGGATCACATCCATGTAGCCAGGGACCTGCGAGACATCCACTGGTTGCAAGAAAAATGCATAGTCATCTTTCCTAATATCCCAAAAATTCAGAATATAGCCTGAGAGCTATGCGCAGCATACTGACTTTTTGATCTTCGCAATGAGCTTTGTGAGCACCTCCTTCAGCGGCTCGAGCTTTGGCGGCCGAGGGATCTTCTGCACCTTGCCGTCATCGTATGGACTGTTGAGGCTTTTCCGGCCTTTCCTGTTCTTTAATGCCTGTACTGTCTTGAGGAATGGGAGAACGAGTCGCAAGCCACTTCCTCCACTTCCGCTGGCATTGTGGGAGTGAGATGATGGAGGAGAATCGAGAGCGTCGTCTATCGTTCGGGGAGTCGAACGTTAGGGAGGAAATGTCACGTATTAAGTTAGGTTGAATTATGGGCTGTTACGTCGCATCCTGAATTTGCAAATAGGGGGATAACGGTCGATAAGTCGTCATTGCTGGTGGGCGGCGGCCACCTTCAGTTTGTTCGCTACATCCAGCGGTCCATCGCGCATGAAAGCTAAAATTACAATCAGTAGGCTAATCGTGAAAGGCGTGCGGACAAGATCACTTCTGCCGACAGTGCTGATCTGCTCGCGGTAACTTGTACGCGTTAAGACCGGATACCATGAGTTCCCTCACATTTCTGGTAACGGAGCTGCAGGTGCGTCGGATTTCGCGGGGCACATACTGTACATTTAACCGGGTCCCTTTTGTCTAGTCGCTCGCTAGTGAGACGCGCCGGAAGCACCCCGACGTCCGCGAGGTATTTATCTGATTCACTGCTGCGACTTCCGACTGTAGATCGCGTCCACGTTGCTGATTACATCTTGGACTTAGTTCAGGCTGCAGAGAAATCCCTTGCTATCCTACGCTCATCACCAGAACAGGCCACTATCCATTTAGCGTCAGGTATGATGCTAGTTTCGCCGGAGGCAGGGTGATCTCATTTCTCGTTGATAGATGGACCTCAATCCGACGATCTCCTCCGTCCCGTCTTCATGGGATGCGCCACAAAGAATGCCAAAGTCGTCGCTATTTCCCTAGGGTCGCTTCAACGCCTCATTGCGCTGAAGGCGGTACCGCAGAGCACCGTACCGCTCATCGTCACTACTATGAACGACTGCGTGAACCAGGGAGTCGACATACAGCTGCGCATACTACAAACCCTCCTCTCGCTCATCACCAATTTCCTGGCTGTTCATAGCGAACTACTGGGTGACGTGTGTACCCGCGAAATGCGGAAGCATAGACACAACTGACAAGTCAACGTAGGCTCTCCTGCTATGCTTCAAGCTCCAGGAATCGCGCATAGCGGTCGTGACGTCAACCGCTGCCGCGACTCTCCGACAATTGGTTATGTTTGTCGTGGACAAAGTCGTGGACGAAGACCACCGAGACGAGGTTGAAGTCAGCTCAATGACGGAGACTACTCTTCCGAATGGCAAGACCAAGGCTCTCGGCCCATCTGCTCTCGATGCCTTTGCTGTATTCCAGGACCTGTGCTTGCTAGCGGACGCTGAACATCCGCACTTTTTGAAGCCGAATGTGCTACGAAAGACGTTTGCGCTGGAGCTCATCGAGAGCGTGCTGACCAACTATCACGATCTGTTTCGAAAGATATTTGTTGTGCGATTTCTTATAGAGAAGCAGTGATTTAAATCCTTGCAGCATGACGAGCTTCTACAATTCCTACAGCACCATCTTTCTCTTTTACTGCTCAAAGCTCTATCGGACCGTCCAAACTTTCCCCTCACCCTGCGTGCGACGCGAGTATGTTTTCCTGCTGCCAAAGCAGTTCTCCCTCGAGCTCAAGAGTGAGTCCGAGGTCTTCCTCATGCTGCTCATCAGGATTGTGAGTGCAGACGGGACCGATGGAGACCAGATCGATCACGCTCACCCACATGGGCCGCGTCCTTTGTGGATGCGTGTACTCTCAATGGAGGTGATGAGAGGGTGAGTTGACTGCCCAGGTAATCGACTACTGATGCTCAACTGTCTCGTAGACTTTGCAGTGATGCCGAGCTGATGCGTAAGATCTGGGAACGTTACGACGCAGAGGCTGAGGGCTCGAAAATCTTCACATCCCTCGTCACAGCCCTGAAGCGCCTCGTGACCGAGAAGCCCGACCTTCTTGGAGTGTGCACAGAGATGTACGGTGTCGGCGTGCCTACAGGCAGTGGGTCAAGTTCAGATCTTAGTGCATATGGCTTGGATGTTGGGGGTGTGGCTGGAATGGTGGCAAATGCTGCGAGCGCTACGGTATCAGATGTTGCAAGCATGATGGGCTCTGAGGTTGGGCTCAGTATGCAAGAATCAGCGATGAAGCTGCAATGGTGGGTTGTGCGAGTAAGCAACGACCTATTGAGCGGGGACTAATGTGGCATAAAACGTTACAGCATCGATCAACTTGACAAAGCGGATTCCCCGGGGATCCCAGAACCGTACATCTATCTGCTCGGAGTTCAGTGTCTCGTCGCACTTTGCGAGGGTTTCTCGGCGTTCACAAGGCCTCTGTAAAACACGATTATGCTTCAGCGTCCCCGCGCTGCAGGAGAGCCTGTCATGCGTGCACCCCCTGCGCTGAACATTGACGCAATTCCCACCGAGGAACCATACGCGAAACCACTTCGCACCGTCCACGACATGGTAGAGAGCGGATGGCCTGCACTTCTTGCAGCGCTCTCCTTCCTGATCTCGACCAATCTCTCCGACGAACTCTTCGTAGACGTCCTAGCAAGCTACCAAGCGCTCACTACGGTCTCAGGCATGCTCGGGCTTTCTACACCTCGCGACGCCTTCTTCACGAGTCTCGCACATCTGGCGATCCCCATCGGGGTCTTGTCGAGCCTAGACGCTTACCCGCACCTTTCAATACATGGCGATCCCATCACTCCTCGGAGCACTGCCAGTACATTCTCAGAGAATCTTGGCCTCGCTCTTACAGGATCTGCACCTTCGACACCTCCAGGATTCTCCGAGCGCAACATGGCTTGCCTTAAGGTACTCGTTAGCAGCGCGCTGTTCCTTGCTGGTAGTCTGGGCGATAGCTGGCTGAACATATTGGAAGTGCTTCAAAACGCGGATGATGTCCTGTCGGTGAAGGGTGGTCGTCCATCTGCGTCGAAACGTGCCACTATCGGACCAGGGTCTGGCGTGTTGCCCGTGGCCCGCACAGGCTCATTAGGTAGTTCACAATCGCCATCGGCTGGCGGTTCAGGTGGCAGTCAGGGCCAAGTGCAACCCACTCACCCACTTTTGGCTGATCTGGATCCGGAGAGCATGCAGCATGCGATTCAGCGCCTTTTTGATGCGTCGAAGAATCTCGATGATGATGCGTTCCGGGACTTTGTCAATGCTCTTTGCAAACTCAGCGCAGCAATGGTTGAGATGCAATCGTCGAACAACGAAACGTTGGTTCGTGACTCTGAATCAGTAGATGATGTGGCGAGCAGTCCTACTTTGTCTCCACCTTCCGACTCGGCACATCGCAGAAGGGTTAGCGGGCTCCAGATGCTCCGGACTCCGGTAATTACTCTTTCATGCGCGAGTGACGTGTACTTACTTGGTTATTTATAGCTCTCTGGCGACTTTGGGATCAGCAAACTGGGCGGAATAGCTACTCTAAACATTCATCGCCTCATCTATAGATCCCCCGAGGTCGCCTGGGATCCTATCACCGAACATCTCTTATCTGTCATTCTTAATCATACTGCCCCTGGTTCTGTGCGCGTCCAAGCTGCCCGTGTTCTCGATGACATACTCGTCGTGGTTCCCAGAAATCTGTCTACCACCGGTGACCTGCAGCCCAAAGTACAATGACGCGTATTGGACGTACTTGCTCAACAAGTGATATCGGACGGGATCGCGATGAACAGTTCGACCATCGAGGTGCGCCGGATGGGATTTGAGACTCTTCACCAGATCCTCCAGGCGTCTGGACATACGCTCGTCATAGGATGGGAAACCATTTTCGAGATGCTGAGCAGTGTCTGCAGGCCCGCGTTTCCCTCATCATTATCTGTGGAGACTGTAGTAGGTGCATCATCAAAGGCTGAGCCTTCAAAGACAATCCCACAGCCACTCACGTACACAAGCGAGAAGGGATACAACACGCTAGTCAAGATCGCCTTTCAATCGCTGACTTTGGTTTGTGATTCTCTGACATCACTTTCACCTGAGCATCTCCGGCTATGCATCAGCACTCTTGGCCAGTTCGGTCGACAGGCAGATACCAACATCGCTCTCACCGCTGCGGAGAGCTTGCTTTGGGGTGTGTCGGACTCGATACAGGCCAAGCGCAAAGACTCGGACAAGGAGCCGGAGTATAGTGAATTGTGGATGTTCCTCTTGACGGAGATCCTAGGCTTATGCACGGATGCCCGACCCGAAGTGCGCGTTGGCGCTAATCAGACATTGTTCCGTACGCTTCAGCTCTACGGAGCCACGCTCAGCCTAGAGACATGGGACGCATGCATATGGAAGATCACGTTTCCGCTCCTCGACGCAATCACGGCTGGCGTGCGACAAGCCACATCTGGCGAACCGGCGCACTTGGGACCCATACCAGCTGATCAACAGTGGGACGAGTCGAAGATCCTCGCATTGCAGTCCATCGGCTCCATATTCCACGAGTTCCTCGTCTCCAAGATCATGCCACTGGCGTCATTCGCTGATGCCTGGGACGTCTTCGTCAGCCGCATCCGGGATTCATGGCTGCATGACAATCGGGATGTGAGTGCCACAGCGGTGCGCTGTATGGATAAAGCGATTAGGGCCTTGGCCGACGTGAACGAAGATGCCGCAAATGCAACCGAGGCTGCATTGGACAGAGTATGGCGTGCGTGCGATGAGATGGGGGAAGCCGTTCAGATGGGCGGTTCCGAGGGGTCCGTCAATCGGTCATCGGTGAAGGAGACCTTCAGACCGTTCACTCAGGAGAGCCTGATGGCGTTTGTGGACGTCATTCGTAGCATGCGATCTGTTGCAAAGTCGGTGCACAAGCACGAATGGGCCATAGAACAGCTTGAGCGGCTGATGGCTATACTTAAAGGTGAGCTGTCTCGGGCGTTGTCCTTGTCCTTGACGTGTAGCACTAAGCTCATGTGCAGGCGTCCTCACGTATCCGGATTCGCAGGACTTCAGACCTGATGTGGACGCACTCAGCCCGGTCCAGGTATGTGCTTCTGACGGCAGTCATTCCGGAAGGTAAACAATATATAACTGTATCAACAGGGAGCAGTCTTGGAGGTCATCGATACCATCGACCTCAATGTACCAGGAGCCTCATCTCTCGTCCTACGCGACCTATCAGAATATGTGACCCTGCCCTTCCTTGCAGCGTTCGACATCCCAGAGCCAAAGCCCTCATCGGTTCCGGCTCGCTCAGCTCAGCTGCGCATGGGTCCTAAACAGGTCACGTACATCGGGCTATCGAAGAAGGTCATGCCGATGCTCGTCGATCTGTTCATGCGATTCAAGGACCAGGCCACTTTGTATGTCGATGGGACTCTTGAAAGGATTTTCTCGGTGCGTCCGGCGGTGGATCTCGTGCCAGAGATTGCTTAATTTTGCTTGCAGGCTTACGGCATACCGATCAAGATGAAATATGAGTGCCCTGCGCCGTCAAAGTTTGGTAAAGATCCTCCGCTATGGAAGACAGCCACGACTAGCTTCCTCAAGATCGTCAAAGAATGTGGACCACAGATGCAAGCCCTCGGAGAAAGTGAGCATCGGTTTCATACACTTCGCTCCGTGGCTGACATCCGTGAGCAGGCATCCCCGATGACAGAAGAGAAGCTATATGGCGGCAAATCGTTGACACCTTCAGAGGAGGCATCTTAGCCGACTGGTGAGCCGCGTCACTGACGAGATCCTCACGTTTCAGCTAACGATCGATCGAAACCATCCTTCAGCTCTCCCGCCGACAGCTTCCCGCTTGACGTCCAAGAAGAAGAAGAGAACTTTGACCTCGCCCTGCTCGCCGCGCTCGAGATCGACGTGATCTCGTATCTCGGGGAAGCCTGCATCCCGGACTACCTTATTCTGCAGCTCGCGCGGATCCTGCACCAGGGCAGCCGGCTGCGCGATGAAGACAACTACCTCCCGCCCTCACCAAAATCGATCTCGGAAGGCTTGGGCAAGCGGCTGTCGCAGGAGTTTGAAACGATAGAGCGGTTCGGAGACCCCGAGCTCGCGGTGGGGAGCACCGAGGCTGGGCGGGCACTTCCGCGCGAACGGTTCTCGTATTGGTGTTTCGACTTGCTGTTCCTCATATGCTCTGATACAGCCAAAGGTGTACGCCTGATGCTTGCACGGTCACTTCATCCAGAACGTCGTCATCAGAACTGCTGCTGTGCTCGTTCTACGAGGCCGCTACGAATCGGCGCTTCTTATTGTCCATCAATTGCCACGAAGGTGACTTACATCATGTATCTGACTTCGGTAGCGGTGCCCCTGCTGCTCTCGCTTGTAGCCATAGTCGTGTACAAAACGTCGTACCCACGTCTTCCGCTTCTTCCTGGTCAGAAGCCCACTTTTTGGGTCGGCAATTGATGCTCGTCAGCTTCCAGCCACCAAGCCTTAGTTGACGCATGTGAAATGGGCGCAAGAATATGGTATGCGACCGCGAAACCCCTTAACGTAGATTCCACTCACCTCGGACAGATTCCTCTTGTGTACTTCCATATCTACGGCCGGAAGATACCATCCTGTATTCATTGCAGACAACTCTCGATTTGCTCGACAAACCGCTCGGCTGTCTACTATGACCGGCCGATGGCATGCTGTACATGAAGCTTCCGGAAGGAAGCTTGCTGTATGCAGCATATCAGTAAACCATCCTCGGCTCAAGAAATATCGTAGACCGCTGCAGACGGGTCTAATCCCGCGTGCTGTACACAGCTATCGCCCAATGCAAGAAGGAGAGGTGCATGCGCTCGTGCGCCAGCTTGCGAAGTCGCCCGAATAGTTCATTTCTCACGTTAGGAGGTCAGCTAACGAAACCATGTCAATAGAGCGAAATTTGGCCCGTCACTGATGCACACAACACTTGCTAGAAATGCGGCAGACCCGAACCGGTTTCAGGATCAAAGGTCATTTCGGCATCTTCCTGCGAACATTTGCGAATCAACAAATAGATAAGGCGGGCATTTGATTGCACAGCATACAGTGGCGCCACTCACTGGGTGGTGAACCAAATACTTTTTTCGGTGGACATTTCCAGGCCTTCGCAGATGGACGACCGATACATAGATCCGCGATGTCTGCTAATGTCATTACTTTATCACTTTCTACCAACTCATGATAGTGATGTTCTGCGTGGCCCTGGAGTTTACATACTACGCGGTTAGCGTAGTCGTGGTAAATTGTGCTGTAGAAAAGACTCCGCCGTTCTATAAGCATGTGGCCCTCATAGTAATAGGGAAAGTTGTTGGAGCAACTTCTCGCTATATGCATCATGTAATTGAATATTTTGTTATGTTGGTAAGACCCATCATACTTGCTCCTTGATCCAAACAGTATTTCTATGCATTTTGGGTATACATACATCGATGAGATTTAGAAATTGAACAAACTTGAACATGGTATGGACTGTCGCCGAAGGTGATGCCTTCACACCGAAGATTTGAGGTTTGCAACTGGAGGTGACCGATTGCGTTCCATGCGACTCTATTCCTCTATCTTCAGCCTCAACTCAGACCGACGCACAGCCCTGACCATGAGCGGCTTCTGGAGTATCGTCGTACGCATGTTGAGGATGCCATCGCGGTATGCCTGTACGTCGAATCCCGCAGCAAGCTCCATGTCGTAGTTCAAGACGAGTCTAGCGAGCACGAGCCTCATTTCCTGGTATGCAAATGCTTTCCCGATGCATGCGTGCGGTCCTGCATGGATAGTCAAATTGAGCTTGCATTGTAGAAAATTGAAATGCATCAAGCGTTCGACATACCGGATGAGAAGGAAAATAAAGCCGTCTTCTCCGTCTTTGAACCAGGCCCGAGGCCCTCAGGCAGCCATCGTTCGGGCCGGAAACCCTAAATCACCACGCATCTCGGCATCATCGGCATATCTGAACTTTCGCGTGTTGGCTCACCAACGGGTCGGGCCAATAATTCTCTGGGCTCATTTGTTGTGAATAAGCAGCAATCGCAACGATTGTCCCCTCTGGTATGTGCCTCCCTTCAAGTACGAAACCTCCGGTAGGCACGATACGCGGCACGAAGAAGGACGATCCGAGGCGGAGTGCCTCGGTGATTACTGCGTTCAGGAACGCGAGACTTGCCAGCGTCCCATGGTCAAGGTGGTCCATCGGGTTAGCGAAAACATTATCGAGCTCTGCACGTAGCATGGTGTAGTATTCCGGGCGCGACAACAGAAAGTAGAAAATGTGGGCCAATGTGGTCGACGTATTGTCAGAGCCTGTGATGAAACTAAAAACCCGCTGCGATGATGACACAATTAGAAGCATGGTGCTCACCTCCTTGAATGGCTATAATAGCCTCGACCTTGAGGTCCTCGTGTGGGATCTTATCTCCAGTCACGGAATCCCCCGCCAACTGTGGCATTTGTATGATCAGCAGGAGCATACAGCGACAGAAATCCATCGAGAACAAACCAAGTACGAGCTGAGATCGCGTATTGTCACATTGTCATCGGTTTCGATTCGCCTCTGCATGAACTGCGCAGCCACATCCCGCAGACGCGTGAGGGATCGGCCCACAGGGAGGTGCCAGATAATGTCCATGAGCCAGGGGGACTGTCCAATGCTACTACATTGTAAGTCACTGATACATACGACAGACGAGGGTGATATTGCACCTGTCCACGTAGCTCACCGCTAACCTGCCGCCATGAACGAGATGTTCCGGATCGCCGCGCCTCATGAGCTCCTACATGTGGATCTAGATTCAACTATCTCTGAATGTTGTATGAATGCTGCGACTGACTAGATCATTAGATCCACCGAAAACTATTTCACCCTGTTGAGCGGTCAGGCCAGACCCTACGGAAGTCCAGATTGCACGTACCATCACGTCATATGCCCAATGGCACAAACACTCTGCAAGGTCGACCGTTCCCTCCTTGCTCCTGGCCTGCCTCTTCTCGATGCATTCCAGAATCTGTGACGCCCGCCGCTCCAGCACGGGGAAGAAGTTCGAAACCCTTCAATTACCAGTATCAGATACTTAGCATGAGGAGATGCCGGGTTCGCTCACGCTGCGCTAGTGAATGCTGATGACCAGATTCGCTTGCGGTCACTATGGATTTTCTCCGTGTCCTGCTTAAAGAAGAGGGCGACGGCGCGATTATGCCCGGGAAAAAGGTATGAGTCGCTCTTCGCCATGTGCATGTGTGCGCTGTAAATAATGTTCGCGGAGAGCGTGTTGATGGAGAGCGTGTTCGGGCCTGGAAGATAGTAGCTTTCGCAAGGATGAACTATGCTAAACATGATGGGACACACCTATCCGGACGAATGGGCCGTACACGCGATGCAGTTCGTCGAGGACGTGGTGGTGCTTTCCCTTGAATAACACGTAAGTGAGACATAGGTTGCTAACATGCCATAGTCGCGGTCCGGGATATGATGCAAGGGGATGCAAGGGCGACAAGCGGTACACCACTACACTGAGCAAAGCGGAGGCCATATACAGGCACACGACAGAAGCGGTATGTATCAGCGCCATGTGGGCGGATGCGACTCGCAAGTTGATTCCATAGAGAAACACAAAAGTTATGCATAGCGCTGCGGCGGCATAGTCACCACGGACGGAGCGGCGATTCAAAATTGCCCATGTTCCCTGCGCGCACTTGTGAGTGACGCATGCATTTGGTGGGCTAGCAGAGTTGGTACGCACCACACCTGCGAAAGCAACCACGACCTTCGCGTAAGAGCCAGAGAGAGATGAGGTTGGTAGACCCATTCGCTTGGAATCTGACCGAGTGTGAGGATAATGAGAGAGAGATTGCTTTAGTACTCCAATCACAACCTGCCAGTGGTGTCACGAGGGCGTCCAATATTCAGTTTACGCACTTAGAGTCCAGATGCATTATAGGAATGGTATGTCACGCAATAGTTCTGACTGCCGGCGTGTACAAGCGCGCACAAGCCTCAGGACAAGCACAGATGAGATCGAAGCTAGCAGCTCATCCTGGATAACAATCTTTTGTCCCAGACATCCGCAACAGTCCCAGGGCTGGTTCCATCAGAGCGGATGTTGAGGAGAACTGGAAAAATACCTGATCATCACTAATAGAGCGCTCACCGTGACGCAGATGCAGTCCCTCAACTAGAGACGGATACAAATAATTCTTGATCATGTTCTTTGACTCGGTTATCACAGGATTTTGAAATCTGGAATTGGGCTGCGCCGCGTGCCGCAGATTTATCAGTGACAAGTGTGATACAGCGGCATAGGAATAACAGATGATCGATGAGTACTGCGTGAGCATCAGATATCAGATGCCAGACTGTGCCAGACAGACCGCACACATCATGCCTTACCTGAACGGAAAACAACGAACAGCAAACTGTTGAGGAGGATACGGCCTGGCATGTTGGATGTTGAGCCGAACAATAATGTCACGATGAACGCGCGCCGGAGCTTGGCAAAATGCCGTGATAGCTGGAGATAGCGCGTGGCAATTCTACTACTAGTGACAGATTCCTGATGCAAACACGAGAGAGATGCAGCAAATTTGCTCGCCTCGTTCACATCATCGTTCAATTTCAATTGAGTGAGCCAACTAGGAGGTGCTGGGAAATTCTGATAGTACCATCTCTCTAGCATCGTGAGCTCGGTCGCATCTGCAAGTCAAGATTGTGCTATTATTGCTATCAGCGGCTATATTGTGATATATTCACCCTGTTAGTGAATTTTAGCACAACCAAGGCGACAAATACCACTGGTGCCGGTGTGGGATCCAGTGGCTGCCTGAGAAAAGGAAAAGCGCCTCAACATGTTGCGAAATACCCCGCGCCCCGGGCCTGGTTTTCAACCTGATCTTAGTCATATGAGAATTTATCATGTCAACATTGGGTAGCAGAAAATTGCGAAGGCCAGGATAAGCAGGTAGATAGGTACATCTGTCTAATGTTCACTGTTAACAAGGGCAGCACCTACGACAAGCGCATGAGAGAAAAATCAACAGAGTCCAGAATCGCACTCCACAATGCACATATCTAATTTGCACCATCGACATATCAGTAAATACCAGGAATCATACTACGTGGAACTCGCTCGCGGTACTCTAACCACTCCTTCCCAATGGCAGTCTCCAACAGCTTGTCCTCTACTCTGCCTCTTTTGACGACCGACAGCATGGCGAACACGTAAACTACATACAAGCCATGCACGAACCACCGGGCTGGTGTCAGCATCAGCCCGCACTCGTCGATATATCCGCTCGGAGTGCGGAATGCGCTGTACGTCCCCCAAAAGAGAAGCCACACCGCGGTGTAGCTCGGGTGGCGTACGTGTTTATATGGCCCGGACGTGATGAGAGTGTGTCTTGGCTTGAGAGTAACGAGGTAGGTGAACTGCGAGCCGAGCGTAGTGTAGCACCACAGGCGGAGGAATGACCCGAACATGATCATGAAGAAGCCGGAGAGGAACGCTGGAGAAAGCGAGGCGAGAGTCTCGAGGCGCGGCGCAGGGCTCGGGCAAAGGTGAGAAAGCACGAGCTGCCCATGAGGGTAATCCACAGAAAGGGAGAGCATGACCGCGATGTGAGCGATGCTGACCGATGCAACGGTGACCTGGAGTGCGGAGAGTGTATGTCAGTAGGATATGCTATATCTGTATCATAGTACACTACCTTCTCGAGGCCGATTAAGAACATCACGACACGTTCAAACAGCTCTCCTCTGTACACCTTGTCCCCTTTCGAGGACGGAGGGTAGGGCGGGGTGAAGCTGACATAGTGCGCAAGCACTGCGACGATCAATAGCCCGGACTTGACAATTGCTGTTGCGAGCATGGCGCATGGACAACGGGGTAAGGAACTATGGCAGTTGCGGAGATCTATATTGATGGTGTTTTGTAGAAGTAAATTTCGTTGAGTTCCGAAAAGGCCGGATGGAAGGGCTACCTGACACACCTGAGACTTCTTATGTTATTTCTAGGACTGCTATAGTGGCATGTGCGAGTATCTCGAACTATGTCGCATATTTGACACATTCTCACTCGGCTGCTACGGACCCATTTGTGACACAGGGTGATTCCGATCTATGTATATCGGATACGTCGAAGCACGTACGTTGTGCGAGACACTTGATCACAACCACTTTTGTTCAGTTGGGAGAGTCGGGGTAGCTCTAGCCTCTACTCGAAGGTAAAGATGGGTGCCCTTTCGGTAGCCAAATGCATTGCTTAGAACTCTAGCAATATAAATCTGACTCCACCGCGCATAGCGCGGTATACAAATAGAAATGTACAAACAAAATATATAGATATATAAATCTGACTTGCCGGTTCCGCTTACTGATGCATGTTGGCAGGTAGCCAATTGAAGCTAGATAAGATGGAAAACTTTCAAACAATCTTGAGAACTCCCTAATAGTAGATCCACCTCGTCAAAAGAAACGTATCGGATGGATGAGAAACTGGAGTATTTCACCTTGCCTGAGTTACCTTGCACAAAGGGGGTGCACCGTTAACGCGAGTTGTCAGTTCGCAGTACCAGGCTAGACACACAGTCGAAAGAACAGATGCTACCAAAGTCAGCATACAATTCTCAGCCGGCGCTTGAGCAGGTGAGGATTGCGCCACCTCCAGTTATTTATTTGAGTTAGTTAGTTATGTTAATTTCTGCAATGGAGGACCGAGTAGCGCCACTGGATCCGAGGCTGAAAGTTCGTAAAATTCCGGGCACTCCGAGCTGAAAAATTGTACCCATCTTGAAGTTCGCACTGCGATGTCTGGTCCTGTCTTTCTCTTCAAGCGCCTCCGTGATGTCGGTAATTCAAATCTGGACTCTTGACGACGTCTGACTTTGAGCGGCTCAAAATCCCTCCCACCGCACCCCCTAGAAACGCCAACGCACTTCCGCTTTGGCATTCTCGGCGTGGCTCGTATGCTCTGATGACCCCAGTGATCCGATGTCGTCGTGACATACCACACTATCATACCGGTCGCTCGTCCGACCGGGTTAGCTCCGCCGTGCACGCGGTCGACTCACGTTGCGCTCTCTATGGTCAAATTGCGTCTAGAGCCGGTACGGCCCAAAATATCTGCCATCCCTGAGATTCATCATGGAAATTAGATGCTGCGTAGCATGTGGTGCCATTGTGGCGTTGCTCGCTTGTTCCCGTGTGAGCATGTCGCTTGTGGAGAGAGGCCACCTCAACTGCTCGAAGAGCTTAGATTCTTCATGAGTCTTGCCCATCAACTCGGGTGAGGCAAGTTCAACATCATCCTGGTGCATGCACATCTCCCATTAAATGGTATAGCGTTCTGGGCGCTCTGCGAGACTTCAACATATTTTGTATCAGACCCTAGGATCGGAAGCGTATCACGAGATGTTGAATCGAGGCTTTGAGGGAGGCGGACTGTAAGCTCTTTTTCCCCAGCAGGTGCAGTCTCATTACTCCGACAAAGTTTGCTTGGCCATGTATGATCTTTGGGAGACATGAGATGAATTTAGCTCAGGGGTTTCACGCAGGATGATGTTCTCTGCGAACGTAGGGCTCTCTAAACTGTTGTATCATCGTTCTTATCGGACCCTGGAACACGACTCCGCGCGCCGCAGCTCTTCCGAGAAGCGCGGGCATTTTGCAAGCGTCGACCGGAGGAATGGACGGCTTATTTATTGTCATGATGCGTGGAAACATCAAATTACCACTGGTTCCTCGGGTATCGTCTGATGGGCGTTCCATAGGTCTTCACGGTTCAGCGCTCGGCCTTTTGATACTGCAGAAGCAAACGTGCGTCCTGTCATCCTGACTTCTACGGCAAGGCGTTAGTCCATACTTGCAACGAATACATTTGTCTGACTTTATTGAGAACAGGCATTCTCTGCAACCACCGCCCGCCATGTCCGCGGTCGAAGAATTCAAACTGCAACAAGTCACGGCAGACTCGGAGCCGCCGAAGAGAGACATCCACGACGTCAGCACACAGCAACTCCTTCTCCAGAGTCCTGCGCCACCACCGGTGGAAATCCCAGATGGTGGCCTCCGTGCGTGGATGTCCATCCTCGGAGGGTGAGTCGCGATTGTTTCTGTGCGGGAGAGGGGGCTTGATCGCGCCATGATCAGGTTCATTGTGCTGTTTTGCACACTCGGATACCTCAACTCGTTTGGTGTCTACCAGGCGTACTTTACACTCGCTGGGACGTCCAGCTCGTCCAATATCAGCTGGATCGGCTCTCTGCAGGTATGTCTTCGGAAATTTCATACTGCAGTTACATTCATACATCGTCCCAGCTCTTCCTGACATTCTTTATGGGGCTGCCAGCCGGGCGACTGCTGGACAAGGGGTACTTTCGCATCACCACAATCGTTGGAAGTCTACTGTTTGTGTTCTCGTGAGTGACGAGCGTCCTGAACACTTTTGTTCTGCTCCTGACCGCGTGGTATAGGATGTTCATGCTCTCGTTGACCGATCCTCACGATTACTACCAGATCATCCTCTCACAAGGCATCGGGCTGGGACTTGGTAGTGGGCTGCTGTTAGTCCCCGCCCAGTCCGTCCAAGCTCACCACTGGAAGCGACGGCGTGCATTTGCCATCGGGATCGTGTCGACAGGCAGGTCCTCGCACTGTCGTTACATTCAATTTCATGCTGACCGGTCCTCCAGGTGCCGGTGTGGGCGGGATTGTGTACCCGATCATGCTCAACCAGCTCATACATGGCTCGGCGGGGTTCGCATGGGGCGTGCGCGCGTCGGCGTTCTTGACGCTCGGCCTGCTCGCCATCGCAAACTGTCTCATGACAACGCGGCTGCCTGGAAGGAAGGACGGGTTGGCGTCCATGGGCATGCTCAAGGCTTTCTTTGCCGACCTCGCGTATATCGCGTTGATGATTGGGTACGCCGCTGCTGCTCAGTGTGATCAGATGGGTAGGTAAGATTGTCGCAGGTTCTTCCTGACGCTCTGGGGACTGTACTATCCATGTCTGTCCTCATCCGTTCTATGCGCTGTGCTCCATTGACGGCGCCTCGCAGACTTCTACCTCCAACTATGGGTGAATCTCCACGGGCTGTCCGAGAACCTCGCATTCTACACCGTACGTGCCGTCCCCATTCAAATGCCACGTCGAACCACTGACTGCCCGACAGATTGCGATCCTCAATGCGGCCTCGATCCCGGGGCGGGTCGTGCTGAACATACTCGCGGACGACTTTGGGGTGTTCAACGTGCTGTGTCCCGTCATCTTCATAATGGGCATGCTCGTGTTCGCAATGTTCGGCGTGACGCATACTGGCTCGGTCATCGTCTTTGCGATCCTCTACGGATTCTTCAGCGGATCCTGTAAGCGCTCCCGCTATCCGCTGTGCGTACGCTGAACTGTGATCGTAGACTTCTCACTGTCCCCCGCGGCACTCACATCGCTAGCAAAGAACGTAGATGAAGTCGGGTGCGTATAGCGAGTAAGCTCGAGCCTGTGCTGCTGATCATGTCACTCTATTCTGAGCAGCGTCCGTCTCGGGGCAGCATACTTCATGGGGTCGCTCGCGTTCCTCACGGGCACGCCAATCAACGGTGCACTGCTGGGGAGCGACGATCGGTGGTACCGGCCAACCGTGTTCAGTGGCGTAAGTGGTCCCTCATGTCTAGCGGTCCTCGTGCTTATCGTGATCAGGTCGTGCTCGTCGTCGGGTCTGTGTTCACCATCATCACGCGATTCCTGTATGCACGACGCAAGGGCATGCACCGCGTCTAACGGAGCACGTCTGCATGTCCTTGGTTGCATCACTCAGCGGTCATATTGCCCTCTAAAGTACAACAATTCATGTTAATTATGGGGTCGACACGATGCCGGTTTGCCAACTGTCAACTTGCAGAGTCTTGGTGTTTAATGTTCCTAGCATAAGATGTCTGGATTGCACTGCGCACTGATATTGTAAGTTCTGGTGTGAAGCCTATCTCGCTTGTCAGGCATGGTACTCATGATGAGCCGCCTGCGTCGCCCAGGCCTGAACATTGAACGTCGGATGTTGGCCAGTGAACGCTGAGAGCACTGGATGCTGATAATTGTACAGGTTGCAACAGTACATCAGCAGCTCTGCTCGCTTAATTCGCTTGCTGTGCGAAATGGACATATTCGAGTTGCGTGATACTAGACTTGGGGGTATTGGCGCTGCGTCCGCACGCCCGGGTCCGAATGACCGGTGGATAAGCCCAACAAGTAGTTTCGAATGTCTTGAGAGCGATAGAGTAAAAATACAAAGATCGATAGTCCGCAATATACAGAAGATAGAGTATAAACAGAATATACATTTCGTCGTGATACAGAGAGGAGAAAGGATGAGATACAATAGGAATAGAGAGTGTGTATGTAGTGTTTGTTCGGATTGTTCTGTAGTGGGAAGGTAAAGCAATGAATGAAGAACGTAGAGTGAATCAAATGCGGACGTTGTCCTTTATTCCAACTTGTTCCTTTATCATCGGCTCAGGTCCCTCGATGAGTTTGGTGATGGTGAGTAGTTCAAGTTGAGCACGCCAATGTTTCCACCCATCCTTGTAGACTGCGTCACTGTTTGTGTCGCATTTGAAGCATGTGACAGTACACCCTAACATGACCAGGTGAATTCATCCGTCGTTTGCGCACAACAGTCTCGACATTCATGATGCCTAAGCACGCACACAATGGCATCCAGTGTTCGGCATGAACATCAAAGACTGAGATTATGCAGATGCAACAACGGCACCAGCAAACAGTAAGGCAAATGATCAGCGAGAAAGGAAACAGCAAGGGTACAGCACCACTGATTGAGGCTAGGTGGATGTGATGAAACGTGCTCCTCGATGAAAGTGCCGCAGTACAGAAAACGAGCGTTGAGTGCAAAAACGACTGGAACAGAAGGAAGCTCACCAGCCTCAAATACATTGCGACGCTGAACGGCGCTACCACCAAATGGACGACAACCATGATCGAAAGCAGCACACATGCGTGCGAGATGTCGGCCCTTCACACACAGTAAACTGCTGGCGGGCCAAATGGCCTAGCGGAAGACAGCAAACTACGGACGATACAATTGGTACACAGAGGATGGTGACAGCATGCACAATGAGGTTGCAAGTGAACGAGCATGCTATCTGACAATTTGCACAGCTGGAATGCTTCGAAGGACCTGCAGATTGCAACTGAAAAAGCAGCAATCACAACAGTTCCGAATGACCCTAGTCATTCGGGTTATAGCGAGCTATTGCAGAGCATGTGCTTACATTATCATGACCCTCATTTCCTGTTTCCCATGTTTGTGGCTGGATGAGCACCCCGAAAGTTTTGCTCCAGCACGAGCTTGTGGTGATTGGCACAGGGGAGACATGGTGCCATTTTCAAGCATGTAATATGCTTAGCAAATGATAATTAGATAGTCAGATTCTATTTCATTATTTGCACTGGTCGCAATTTGTGTAGCAAAATTAACATCTGAGACCATACATGGGATTGAGCAAAATCTTACAGGGCAAATTCAAACTTCGCAGAATGCGTGTAGTCACAAATATAAAAATATAATTGGCAACCTCCGCCAATCTGTTATTTTGCGAGAAGTATGAGACTCCCAAACTATGGTTTGTCATATACCACAGTTTCATTGTGGCCGCCATGTAATGTTCACTTATTATGGTTGAAGGTTGACTATCTAATTAGCATTTGTCACAGCATATAGCATGCTCGAAAATACCTCCATGTCTCCTGTGTGGTCCTTGTCAATGACTGTGTCCCTAAATGGCTGTTGTCGACTGCTCTTGTAACTTGAGGTTAATCTCCCAACAAGTTTGTATGGCCTTTCAAACCCCACTGTGGCTGAAGTGACTGAAGGTAGCCGTCACATTGCAGTGGCTTCCGACTTCATTTTGGAATGAGATGTTCTCTCATATCTTGTGAAATTCTTAGATGGTTTAGCAAGATCTAGTACACGTTAAGAGTTCTTTGTAGTTTATCAGCATTGTGAAGCATATATAGTATTATAACTCACCCAAGCACTAATGTATATATCGACCCAACTGTGTTTAAAGACTCAGTGTTACAGTGTCATGCATTCTGTCACAGTATTAGGTGGCACCTTTCTTTTTGCACCATTAAAGTCATCATTTGGCAACCACAAGTGGTTATTCAGATGCCAACCTTCACATTGGT